CTAACCATCCTTCCATATACATACAAACTGAGGGTGTGACAGATCCTACCACTAGTAGGGTAAACAAAGGGAATATTGTACTCTATTGTGATCTCTACAGAAAATATCTCTTCTGATCCATGCTCACTAGCTATAATAAATTGAGTGGCAACCTCTGCCATATCCTAAATTTATTATTTAGCCTACTTTCAAAACTCCACTCAGTCAACCTAATTGGTCTCTGAAGGGTGGTCATTCTTATTTTTTGAAAATGTAAGTAAGGATGAGTCTTCTCTTCATCTCTAAATCATAACCAAAATAATCAATTTAAATTTTTACAACAACAAACACAATAACAAACATATCAGCAATATCCTAACATGGGTACTATAACCACCAAACAATGCAATATGTCATTCTCTTTTCATGTACACACTTCTTCGTGTACTGTGATCATAGTTAATCGTTTCCTCTTGGATTTCATAAAGTCTTACACATGTTAGTGAATAGTTGCCAGTTAGCCCATGCATATGAATACAACACATATAATACTAGGCTTATTAGTCAAAGTACAGTCAGAGCATTAGTCAGAAAATAAGTGTATTGTCTGTGATGCTTTTGCTTTTATTACATTTCGCGCAACCATGAATAATATTCGTCACCTGTATTTCTCCCAAATTTCCAAAATCGGCTCCATCTTCCATACCCTCGATTTATCTTTGTAAATATCCACACTAATTTCTTTCATCATCATATTGGTTGATAATACATTTTTCCTTCATTTATTTCTCATCATTCAATTAAACAAATTATGCCGAAGGTTGAACACCTTCGGACTCAACTCAAATCGTGTATTTTTAATCAACTATATATCATCCATTCAATGATCAATAAAACATGCATAATCTAGTTCATTAATTCAAAGAATCCATTTTAAAACTTATATTTCTAAGATAGATGCATGTAACTACTCATAGAAGTAAAGAGTATATATTTATATATATATATATATATATATATATATATATATATTCACCCTCATCATATAGGTATAGCTTTATTGATGGGACAGAACTTGATTCACCTTGAATGGATGATTCACATAGAAGTTTTGCGTAGAAGATGTCTGAAAAATCAAGTTCTTCCTAAGCACTACAAAGTAGAGTAACTTTTGAGTAAAAAAAAAAATGAAGAAATAGAAGTGAGATTGGAAGCCGGACATGATAATTTTTCATCATCCGGCTCGAGCACGAATCAAACATTTCGAATGTATCCATAGAAAAAATGCATATGTTATCCACACATATAGAAAGATTCCATGTAAGAAAATAAACCTTATTAAAACTTACTAGAAGTCGAAAGGAAAGGATGTCCAAGCTTGGATTTAAGAGAGGTTTTGAAGTGTACAGGTATCTTAACTATGGAAGGGAGTGAGAGAAGTGAAAATGAGATAAGAATGGTTACTTTTCTTATAATCTAAGTTTCAAAATGTCAAAGTTATTTCAATACCCCCCATATTCTAGGATTTTCACTTGAGTGAGATCATTATCGCTTAAGTGATAACTTTTCTCACTTGAATGAGACCATTCTTGTTTGAGCGAAAAATTAGACAAAAACTTCTATACATTTGTTGATATTTTTGCTTGAGCAAAAACCCTCTAGAAAGATCATATTTTGTTGCCCATTCTTGCTTGAGCGAGACTTTTCTCGCTTGAGTGAGAGAGTACAGAGTCACAATCTTTATCCATTCTCGCTTGAACGAGACATTTCGCACTTAACCTAGAAATAATGAAATTTTTTTTTATAGAGCTCTTCCAATTTGAAAATAAATTGCAATAAAAAATTAGAGTGTTACATAAGACAATCATGATAGTTCTCATCAATACAAACTCACAGCCCTAGATATAATAGAGGCAGTTTATATGACTGTAACATAACCACATGTAAATTGTAATGCTTCATCATATATGATGCAATTAAATTATAAATTTATGTTCTCTTGAGGTTGAATAATGTAATGTATGGATCTCCCAATTATACTCCAACTTTCATTCAACATAATTGTCATAGGTAATCAAAGTACGTCATTTCCTACTCAATAAAAGCATAATTAGTTTATAAATAATTTGTTAGCATCCCACGCATTTAGTGTGTCATTTAGGAATGGACTTGCCATGACCCGGTGATGGGTGCATTCATTAGGATTAATAAGGGTTTGTCGATGACATGACTCGATTGCTATGAGCTACTTTACACCATTGAGTCATCCCCCTTTTACCATCCTAAGGTTCTCTTAGAACCTATACACATGCATCCCAAAATTGTGATAAATTGTAGTCTTGACTACTTTCTTCCTCACATGTTATGATGCATAGAAATATTTATTCATTCTTATAATTAAAGTACATCTTAATCCAATCACAATTTCCTTACTCTTCATGTTCATATAACAGTTTAAGAACAGTACCCCATATTTGATCACTTAAGGATACATCTTTCCTTTAACAACATAGAAACATGATTTTTCCTTATTTTAACTAGTTATGTTTATGTTCTAATTCATGTCTTTTGTCATCTCTTTGTTGCACTCATTTATGGTCTAGGGTTTTGTTTGTATGAAAGGGCTTTTAGCCTTAGTTACCTCTTGATTACTCGTGTCCTATTAGTATTACTAGGTTATTTGTTTTATAGTTTCACTTACTTCTGCTTTTCTTGTTACTTCCTACTTTCATTCAATCTCTATACTTAGGACTTAGCTATCTCTTAGCTTTCTAATGCCTCTCAATTTCTCCTTTCTTTATGCATCCCTAGTAATTTCTTAAGTCTAAATGATTATCCTAGTGTCTAGTTAATTATCCATTAACATAGTTTAGTCTTTTTCTCTCACACTTTTTTCTCGATTTTTCCTCTTGTCATTCACAATTTACCTTAATTTAAGTTTAAGTTTTCCTACTCAATGGTTTTAAAGCTTTATTATGCTCTAAGGCTATGTCCCCCTATTGTTTAACATATACTTATATCTCTCTTATTTCTTGCACACTAAGAATCTTATGAGGTTAAAACTGAAAAGAATTTACACTAATTAGATGTTCTTATTCTTTGTCATTAAATGGCAGAATTAGACACATAGTGACACATATCAAAATACACGCATACACCAGGATCTCATACAATTATTTCTCCTACTAAAAGAACAACATCACCACTTCCACACACATCTAGATCACTTATACAACATATCATAATTTAGCACAAGTTCACAAAATATCATGACATAGAATACTCAAATCAAAGAAACCCTTTTCACATAGCATCAAGCAAATTTTGAACAATACTTTGGTCCATCACATTCTTGCCTTATTAAGATTAGACAGATATTTAACAAGCAAACAGACAAATCAAGAAATATACACACATTTTAGTTGACATGCTTATTGCCCAACATGATAAAATGTTACATCCTTTCTAGAATAAGGTCAGTTAAGAGCATTATAGAAGAGAAAAAAAAATGAGATGAATGCTTCATTCACCTACTATGATACAAAACTAGAGAAATATAATAAATTTTTTAGACAGTGATTCATGTTTAACACAAGATTAAGGCCATTATGGTTTCAAAATGTACATTATAGTACAGGTTCAATCAATATTTGCAAAAGTTTTAGTTCAAACTAGGGTATTAGAATCTCAAAATGGGACAAGGTTATCCTTAGTTCAAGCAGCTTATTATGCTCACTCAACGATAAAATATATTCATGTACATATACTATTTTTTTTATTACTAATCTAGACAATCTACACTTCAAGATAAGAGATTATTAGATTTTCCTTCTTATGCAAAATCACAAAACTAGTAAAGTACAACCAATGAACATGCACGAAAAAATAAGAAGTTTCATCTTTCAAACCATGATATTTTAATAAAATTAAAATACTACTTTAATAATGTAAGTTAAAAAATTATATAGCCTAAAATCATGATATTTTTAAAATATATAAAGTTTTTAAGTAAAATTGAAATACTTTAGCTAGTAAATATGTAAAATAAAAAAAATTGTACTAATTTAAATTAATAATATTTTAAAATAATTGAATTTAAATAAAGAAAATAAATAACTTCTTACTTTATACTTCTTCGTTATTTTTATGTTTAATATGGATGAGTTTTTAAATAAAAACAATAAAATCATATAAATACATTATGATATTTTTAACAATTTATTTTATAATTCTTTAATCAGATTTTTAAGGTTTTGATCAGTATTTTTTAGAAAAATAATATTTAAAATTTTAATAACGATATTGTTGTATAATTCTACATGTACCACTAGAAATTGATTAAAATTGTAGGGAAGACAACGAAGATTCTAGTTATGGCCGCCCCAGCTGTGACGAGTTTGCTTTCAAAGATCACATTTCTTATCTCCAGTATTTCACATTGCCTCAAACTGTACAGTGGGAGTGAATGTTGTTAAATTAGATAAAATCTCATCAGTAATAAAATTAAAGTTCATTATAATTGATTTTTATACCATTTTAATTATACAAATTAAAATAAATTATAATTAATTTTTATATAATAATAAACTTAATTATAATCAACTTTAATAAAGAGTAAAAAATAAATTTAAAATAATTAAAAATATGTATTTTTTATGTAAAAATTGATTAAATTAACTTCTATATATATAAAAAATTAAAATATTTATGTAAAACTTTTTAAATTAAAATATATACAATATACAATTTTTTATTCTATTTACATGAAATATCCTATATTATAAGCTTAAACAAGGGAAAAAAATATTTATAGTCTAACAAAATTATATATTTATAATTTTTAATAATTAAATAAATAATTTAATAATTTGAATGAATTGTTAATTTTTTTTAAATGTATACTTAAATTGAATTAAAAACTTTATTTAATATTAAAAAAAGTACTATTAATTTTTAATAATATAAAAGATAAAATTTTAAATATAAGTATTTATAAATTCATATGGCGTTCGTTGGGGAATGCTTTGGTTGGCGTTCTGCTCCAATGGGGCTTCACCCTCCGAGCCTGACATGGTCATCTTCTATCTCCACACCCATCACTTCTTCAACGAAGCACAACGCTCCAAAGCCACGCCTTTGTTTTCGCGTGGAATCGTTGAAGAGGAGCTCGAAACCTACCTCTCTGGATCTCCTAAAGGATCCCAAGAAGGATCTCTCTCGCATTCTCCGAACCGAATCCGCAATTAGAGGCGTCGAGAACAAAGTCAAGTCCTGGAAGCACAAACAGATCTGGCCCAAGTCCATTCTCGAAGCTTTGGATGACGCCATCAAAGCGGGTCGATGGAAGCCCGCTCTCGAGGCCCGTCCTTTCTCTTATTTCATTTACATGTATAATATTTGGATTGAGAGCAACGCAGTGATTTATTGATTTCTTTTATAAGTGAAACCGTGGTATATTGACTGAATTTGGTAGAAAGCTGAAAGGAGTATGTCAAGTGTGAAATTCTGTTATGAACATTGGGGAGTGTTTTAAATATGAACGTTATATCATGTGATGCTTTTGTTTTTCCTGTTCAATTTGCCATTTTGGTTGTCATGCTTAAAAGTTTTCAAATGGATATGGTTTGGGTAAGTTAGTAAAATCTTGCATTTGAGAGAAAATGTTGTTTTGCTTGTTCTCCTAGTGCTTCTGGCCTTACTTCATGCAAAGATAAACTTGTTTTGCAAAACCAGGCGACACTTGGAAGCATGTCATAGTCTGTGTGAATGTTAAACGTGACTGGATTTTTTTACTTTTAGGCTGAGAGACATGACTAGAAGGGATTTTAGGATTAGCTTTTGCCTTCAGTTGTGTCTGAAATATGACTTGTTCCCTTTTTCAGATTTTTGCACTTCTTCGTAAGCAAAACTGGTATGAACCAAGATGCCGAACATATGCAAAGCTTTTGATGATGCTCGGGAAGTGCAGGCAGCCTGAAGAGGCTTCTTTGCTCTTTGAGATCATGTTGTCTGAAGGTCTTAAACCTACTGTTGATGTCTTCACTGCTCTTGTAAGTGCTTACGGTCAAAGTGGTCGTCTTGATCAGGCATTTTCTACTGTAGAAGATATGAAATCAGTTGTTGAGTGCAAACCAGACGTATATACGTATTCTATTCTTATCAGTTGCTGTGCAAAATTTCATCGTTTTGATTTAATTGAACGTGTTCTTGTGGAGATGTCATATCTGGGCATCCAGTGTAACAGTGTGACATATAATTCTATAATTGATGGATATGGTAAGGCTGGCATGTTTGAACACATGGAAAAATTGTTGAATGGTATGATTGAAAATGGGAAATGCCACCCAGATGTTTTCACGCTGAATTCTTTCATTGGAGCATATGGTAATGGTGTGCAAATTGATAAGATGGAAAAGTGGTATGATGAATTTCAGCTAATGGGCATTATGCCAGACATAACAACATTTAACATGATGATAAAATCCTATGGCAAAGCAGGCATGTATAAGAAGATGAAGTCTGTTATGGATTTCATGGAGAAGAGATTTTTCACTCCAACAATCATAACATATAATACTGTTATTGAGGTGTTTGGCAAAGCTGGAGAGATTGAGAAGATGAATGAACACTTTTTGAAAATGAAGCATCTAGGAGTAAAACCAAATTCTAGAACTTATTGCTCACTTGTCAATGCATATAGCAAAGCTCTGCGAATTGATAAAGTTGACTCAATCATGAGACATGTAGAAAATTCTGATGTAGTATTGGATACTCCCTTCTTTAATTGCATAATTAATGCTTATGGTCAGGCTGGTGACTTAAAAAAGATGGCAGAGTTATTCATGGCTATGAAAGAAAGAAAATGCGAGCCTGATACCATCACTTTTGCTTGCATGATTCAGGCTTATAAAACCCATGGCCTGACTGAAGCTGCCCAAAGGTTGGAAAACATAATGATTTCTGCCAAAGATAACATAGGTATGTTGCAATTTGTTTTTACTTGTTCTTTGATGCCTTTCAATGTTTTATTTGTTTTGGTCCTATTGTGCATGGTAGAGAACACCCATTAGTAGTTTGTTTATATAGATTACCTAGTTTTTGATTAATTAGTTAATTAGTGGGCTTGTTAGTTAGTTAGGTGAATGAGTTTGAATATGGCATGTTGCCTATAAATAAGAGGAGTTGAGAGGAAGATTTTATTAGGTGATTTGAGAGGAAATGTAGTTTGTTGTGGGAGAGCTCAAGCCTCTCGAAAGTCTTGATAATCAACAACAACAAGTCTTATCCCTCATCAGTCAAAAATCAAATTTTCAGAAAATTAGTAAATCAAAAAGTCTTTTTTAAAAACTTCGTCCAAAGTTCTTTTGGGTTCCCCTTTTTATCAGATTAAGAGTCATGCAATCCACTCTCTTTATTAATGTTTCTAAAGATCTTTTCTGCACAAACTGAACTACTTTAGACAATTTTCAGTATATTATTCCGTATCTTATCCTTTCTCGTGTGTCTACTCATCTACCTTAGCATGTTCATTTCTATCATTCTCACTTTCTTCTCATGTTGTTCCTTTAAGACACAACATTCGTTGCCATATAGGATAGCTAGTTATATTGCAGTATGGTAAAACTCTTCTTTCAATTTGATAGATACTTTACGGTTGCAAATAACTATTGATTCCTTTCTTCATTTTAACCACTTAATTTGTATTTTGTAAGTAACATATTTATTGATTTTTCCATCATTCTATATAGTCAATCCTAAGTACCTAAATTTGAAAACTTATGATAATAATATTATCTTCAATTTTAACTTTCAATTCATATTTCTCATATTGTTTTTTTACTAAACCTACAATGCATATACTGTCTTACTTTTACTCAAGCAAAAACTTTTAAATTCTAAAGTCTTCCTTTGTAATTCAAATTTAGCATTAACTTCTTTTGAATCTCCAACCCACATCATCTACAAAAGGCATGCAGCGAGCGATAATTTTTTGTATATCACTTGCAAGTACATCTAAGACTAGATTAAACAAGAGCTTAAAGCGGAGCCTTGATGTAAACCTGTTCCTATTAAGAAGTTCGTAGATACATCTTCAGAAGTTTTCACACATGTAGTTACCCCTTCATACATGTCTTGTATAGCCTGAATATATGTTATGCGTACCCCTTTCTTTTCTGAAATTTTTCATAATACTTCTCTTGATACTTGATCATGTCTTTTCTAAGTTAATAAAAACTATATGTAAGTCCTTTTCTTTGTAACGATACTGTTGTATCACTTTTTGTAAAAAATATATAGCTTCTGTCGTAAACTTTTTTGGTATGAAACCAAATTGATTTTCTGTAATCTTAGTTTCTTGTCATATTCTATGTTCAATCACTTTTTTCCACAACTTCATAGCATGACTCATAAGTTTAATCCTTTTATAATTTGCACAATTTTGAAGATCATCACCCTTGTTCTTTTATATAAGAATCAAATTGTTCTTCCTCTTTTTATCTGACAAATTTTTAGATATCAAAATGTCGGTAAAGAGCTTAGTGAGTTACTCTAGTTTTTGTTTTTTCAAACTTTTCTAAACTTCCATAGGGATATTTATCAGGGCCAACTGTTTTACAATTATCCATACTCTTAAGAGTCTTAAGAGTTTCTTTTACTTTTCCAACTTGAATCTTAAAGTAATATACCAAATTTAGATAATTCATTTTGCACTTCTAATCCTACTATATCTTCATTTATTCTGTCCATTGTTAAAAAGTTTATGGAAATATTTCTCCCATTTGTCCTTGATGCTTTAATCTGAAACCAAAATTTTTCTTTTTTTTCATCCTTAATACATCTAATTTAATCCAAATCTTTAGATTTTCTTTCTCTACCTCTAGCATGTTTATAAATCTTTTTTCCCACCATTCTTTGTCCCATGATCTTGATAGAACCCTCAAAAGTCTTAAAACATACTTCACTCACTGCTTTTCTTGTCTCTTTTCTTGCATTCCGATATCTAGGCCAATTTTCAGCATTATTTTTTGTATACGAAGTTTTGAAACTCATCCTCTTCTCTCTAATCTTCTCTTGTACACTTTCATTATACCACCATAAATTCCTTGTCTTTAGGTCAAAACCTTTTGATTCACCTAAAATTTTCTTAACAACTTTCGTGACCTTTGTAACCATATTATCCCAAATGATGTTGGCACTACCTTGTGTTGCCCAACTATCCTCTTTTACTAAATGCTTCTAAAAGCCCAACTGTTTCTCACCTTTAAGTAGCCCTTACTTAATTCTTGGAATACTAAATTGTTAAATTCTCTGTTTACTAGTCTTAAAATAATTATTAGTCTTAGAGCGAACATCAAGGACCAAGACCCTGTGTTGTGTAGTAAAGCGCTCTCCTAAAATCACTTTACAATCTTTGCAAATTCCTTTGTCTAGATTCCTCACCAAGAAAAAGTCAATTTGCAACCTTGAAACTCTGCTCTTAAAAGTGATAAGATGTTTCACCTACCTTTTAAAACAAATGTTCATAATCTTAAAATCGTAGGACATTGAGAAATCAAGGATAAATATTCCTTCCTCATTTAACTCTTAAAAACCAAAACCACCATGGGCCCTTGAAAGTCTTGGTAATCATTTGCATTATTTTCTCTTAATAGAATTAGAAGCTTTTCTTTCTACAATTCTGATCTAGTTTTATCAACTGGTATCCGAATTCCAATCTTTGAGCTGTGAGTATTGAGTTCTTGAAGAAGATTCCAACCATTTGATGGAAAGGAGGCCAATTGGTGGGCTGATCCAGGTTGAGCAGTATTTTGAAGCCACTAGAATGCATGAGGAAGAGAAGCTATCAAAGGCAGCAAAGGCTCTGAGAGGTGATGCTCTCAACTGGTGGCTAGCATCAAAATGTTGCTACCAATATGCAGACTAGTGAACATTTATGAAGGCATTGATGTCCACCAATATGCTCTCAACCCCTTTTCTTATTCATAGGCAACATGCCATATTCACACTAACTAACTAACCCACTCATATAACTAACTAACTACTTGATAACTAAGGTTTTGTTTGGGAGTTAATTTTAGGACGCAAGGAATAAACTTATTTGATGATCCCTTGTTTGAGATTTTTTAAATGAGAGGGGGAGTTTTGATATAACCTTCAAAATCCTCCTAAACTCATGTTTTTAAGTTCCCTTAAATTGATGGATTTTTTATTTTATTTTTTTATTAACCCTTCTTTTTCCTCCCTTACCTCTCAAACCCTTCCCTTCTGTTAGGATGTGTAATGAGAGTGAATAAGGACAGTTATTAGTTAATAGTTAGTTGCACTAATTAGTTGAATAAGGACAGTTATTAGTTATTAGTTAGTTGCACTAATTAGTTAGGACAGTAACTATAAATAGGAGAAATTATAATTTATAGAAGTGAAAGGAAAGATCCTTTAATAGGAACAGATGACAGAGCAAAAAATTATGATCAAACGACAGTACTATATAATATTGAATGCGTATGAATGAGCAAAAATGCTTTACAATATTTTCATATCTTTTCCAGAGTCAGTGACTCCTCCAGAGACTATCTCTCCTCTAACTAACTCACCACCAACATCCCTCTCCCAATACAATCTCTCCCCTTATATTCTCCCCCCATAACAAGTCATACCCTTCTAACTAACTAATCATTAGTTGAAGGGCCCACCTTCTTCCTCCTTGTGTAAACCTACCACACCATGGGCCTTACTAACTCTCCTTCTGCAGGCCCATCACTCTCTTTTATACTACTGCCCCTACTCAGTATCCTGTCATCCTTGGTGAAGGGGAAACCCTTGGTAATAATTTATTCTTCATTTTCTATTCTGTTTTGCAATAAAGTTCTATTTCTTTAATTTTTCTCTAGTTTCCATTTTTTTCCTTTGGGTTTCCAACATCTTTGCTCTCCCTCCAAACTCCCAAACAAAATCGAAGTAATCTATTTAAACAAACAAACTCCTAATTGAGGTTACCTAATAATACTTCCCTCTCTGAAGTTTCACCTTGTCCTTAATCTGAAGGATTTCATAACTGCAGCAGGGTCCCAATGTCTAAAGAGTAACAATTGACTGTCTCCTTACCCCTTCATTAGAGATGCAACAGTAGCATAAGTTCCCCCATCAAACACAAATGAGCCATGGCCAGTGACACCTTTTGAATTTTGTCTCATCCCCATAATTTCTTCAAAAGCACCAATTGTACAGCCAAACATAGTAACTATATTGCATATTCCCTTCCCCCTCTTGCTGCTGCTGTACTTACAGGACCTTCATTCTGCTTTTGTATTTCATCTATCGGTTTTACACATCCCAACAACAACACAACATAGGCAAGGTTTGTTGTATTCTTTATCTGGATTTCAGTAGTGACATGGCCATTAACCCTCAACCTCATATAAATTCCACCTATCCTAGGAACTTCGAATCTTGTCATTGCTCCCTTCTCCTCACTAGTTATGCTTTGGCCATGAAATTGTGGAATGATGATTTGATCAGCTTTCATCTCCATCACTGGAGTAATCTTGGCCTCCACACATGCACCACAGTCCGGTGGTTCACATAGTGGCTAGCTTGTCCGCCCCACTTGAGATGCACCATTTTGTTACAGCTGTTGACCCACCCCACTTCACAGGAGAAATTGAATCACGTGGATTTGGTAGAGGCAGTGGGTACTGGGCTGTTCAACTGCCCAGACCTGAACCCTCCATTGTTGTCACAGATCAGTCCCAGGCTCTCTGCTCATGCCAAAGATAGGGCTTCCCTCAATCTTTGCTACTTCTTTGCAACCCAGAGAAAGACCCTCCCTTTTTCATCTCTGCAACTGTGGTTCTTGATCTCAAGAACTTCATTTTTACTTTAGTTTTCTGATTCTTTTTCCAAAATGTTGTAGGGTTGTTTTTGTTGGGCTTCTCCCAATTATTGTAGCTTTTTATGTGTCATTTCTTGTACTTGAGCAGCTGGTTCTATTTTCTCCAAGCCTTCATCTTCTGTTCTGTTTTCTTGCACCCCATGAATTGTCATCCTTTTCTGTTAATAGAAACTTCTTTCTACAATTCTGATCTAGTTCTATCACATTCCTTGGTGTCTGATTGTATGCACCTTTTGAGGCTAGACAAGCCTTTTTATCCTTTCCTTCTATCAATATTTTCTTAGCTTCTGTAGTTCCCTTTGTGATCATCACATAGGATAGGAGCCAGCGAGCCATCAATACAACCTGCATTTAACTGCATCACTCTTTCCACGGTGCCCCAAGCTTCTTCTCTTAATGTTGTTATAATCCAGTGCGATTATGATATATCTTTGATGTAGTAGTTTTTGGTTCTACTGTTTTGGCTTGCACCTCCACGTGCAGGTCAGCTATGTTGATTAATACTAGATGTCGAACCAAGTTTTTAGAAAAACCATTTAGAGCTAGTATATATTTTTCTTATTTGAGTTTCTGTCCTCAAATTTTTTTTGTTATACCTCTATCCTTCTATTACTATTATTTCTTTCATTTATTTTGCTCAATGGAACCTCTATTCGTTTTCTTATTGCATGACCAAACCACCTTCAACTCACATTATCCTTTTTCCCAATTTTGGGTCTGTGGGAATAATTTGGGCTTGGGTTTAGACTCGGGTGACCCAACAGTTGGGTTAATTTTTTGTTTGGGTTGGTTTTTCAGCTCACATAAAATTAGGCGTGAGCTTGGTTTTTGAGAGATGACCTAGTTCAACTTTGTAAAATTTGATGTCTACTGAGTCATTGCATCGATAATTTATGTTGGAATGGAAGTATATTCTTTTTAACGGGTTGTATAATAGCTGTTAATAATTAGGATTTGATTTGTTTACTTTTGTAGTTTGCTGAAATTAGAGATTATATAACATGTTTTATACATCTAATCATATTGATGATATCCTTCAGCAGTTTATATATTTTTTCTCTCTTTTGGTGATGTTAAGGGTGGAAAATGGAATCGTTTGGATAAATTTTGAATTGGATTATAATCAATGGGTAAAAAACAAAGCACTAGTTCATTTATGATCCATTAATTCATTACAAGAGTATCAGAAAAATCTAATCCATTTAATAAAAACCATCCAACCTGTCCATTAATAATTTTTTATGGATGGATATCCAACCCATCCATTAAAAGTATATTGTGTAATATATAAGTTAAAAATATAATTTTCTATTAGCAAGGGCAATAGTCCCCCTCCTAGGACGGCAGACCATTTGGTTCTCTTTGTCTTCATATAATTACCTTTTTTCTGCATAGTAATGCCTCTGAGTTTTTCTTTTCCCATGAGTAATTTATTTATCAGCTACACATGACACACCTTACCAAATGTTTGATCAACAGGCACTGAGTTAATTGGATGCTACGACGGTTAATTGTGATTCAAGACTTTCACAATTCTAAATATTTTCTATAGTAATCCTGACTTGGAAAGCTTTGAGAACTTTAGCAGGTAAACATCGAATCTTCATACCTACATGATTATTCTTAATAAAGTCATTGTCAATTTAGAATTCATTTGCTATATTATGTTCAGGAGATAGCTTCTTACTTTTATGCATAGTAGTTGTATAAAAAAAATATAAATTATTTAAATGTAAGTGATACATTCATGTGTTATACTGTGCCTATTATTCTTTGATACATATATGAATTGAATGAAATCCTTTCAAATGAGGATTTTTGACAAGTTCTATTTCTGAAGATGTAATTGCATTTGATTAAGATATTCTGTAATAGCATAGCTCTCATTGAATTCTCTCTTTCATTCTTACAGTTCCTTTACATTCTACTATGCAAAAATTCATTTTAAAGATAGAAACCTATTGAAGCTGATAGTACTCTGAAGTCTTAAATGTAATCTGAAATTCAAGTCAATGAAGTTACCATAAAAACTATTAAACACTATCAAACAGCTCAATAAGGTTTGAGAAGGTACCCTTTGACTGAAGATGATTCCCATCATTTAAATAGAGTTTCCGTCTGTTGATGCTAGTATTTTTGGGTAACACCCTGTTTAGTTCATTTTAGAGAAAGTTGTTCTACTTTCTTTTAGTTGTTTCATGCTAAAATCCCATGATTCAGATTTTAAGATTATTCTTTGCTGGTGAACCTCTGAAATTAGAAAATGTTAAAGGGTCTGCATTTCACTTGATTTTTAAGTGAGTTTTATAGAATTAATATTTCTTCCTTTTAGGGTATAAATGTTACCCCGCACACTATTAGGGTAAAACTCAAATTGATTTAAATGGTTGTTCCCACTGAACGCTTCTGTATCTTATTTAGCAAGACTAATTGTTTCTCCTCTTGTGAGTCAAATGCCTCTGCTTCCTGTGGCCTTCACTAATCAAATTGATTTGTTGAGTCTTATGTATAGGTACAGTCTTTTGCATCATCACCCATAAACTTTGCTGAATTGGGAAATTTGTATGTCCTCTGCAGGGAATCTAATATTGTTAAAGATTATGTCATCGGAGTGCACATTACACGAAGATATAAAATGTTGAGTTTTTTGTCATAATCCGACGAATAGCACTGATCCAGATTCACTCAGTGTTCTGCACATCATGCACAAGACTCAGTCAACCAGTCATGTTTGGAACGGAATACATACTCCATAGTCCACAAGTACTAAGAATACTTTCCGTTCTTTGGGGAGTAATCCAAGTTTGTATCGATACACGCGCGCACACACACCAGAGGTGTGAAGTGAAACGGGGTCAAGTAAAGAAAAGAAAGAAACTAGGGACGTAGACAAATTGCAAAGATAAAATAAATATGCAAGAAATTCAAAGTGAATTTTTTTTTTTAATAAACATATGGTTTAAGAGCCTTGGAGATCTAGACCAGTTTAAATCATAAATAAAGAATATTGGAGTATTGAACTAGTAAGGACGGGGGAGAGAAGAACATTGAGTGGGGATAGTCTCCACGGATCGGTTGGGGGAAGAGGGAGAAATATAGGAGACTCTTGTTAAAGAAAAAAGAATGCTTACAAATAAATATCGTAGCTTCTCTCTCTACTCTCTCTATGACTGATATTTGAAAGGGTGCTTTGCATCATGTTTTAGCACACTTGATAAATCCTAATATTTCTACTGTACAAGTAACGCTGATCGAAACTCTAGCTGTACTGCTATTGTACAGGTACCATGACCAAAATTGTTTGAGGTACAATGATTACATGAAACATGTCTTCAGCTATACTAGATTGATACCACCATAGTAGCCGTCTTCATCCTAGTATTGATGTTATTGATGAAGACGAGCCAGGGGTCTTCTCTTTAAGGAGGACTCAACTTCATCTCCTTGAAGAAATCTTATAATATTCTTTAAATTATTTGCAAAACTTTGTATTGGTAGGCTGCTGAAGTTTGATCATTCTGATAGAGAAACATACAAAACCGTCACCACTTGACATAGGAATCTCTTTGAAAAAGTGAAAAATAATTAGGGTCATGAGATTACCCATGGTAACAAAAAGTTTGAAAATAATCTCACGTCTAGAGGAATCAAGTTGTCTTGCTTAATAATTTTTGTAAGGTTTGGAGTCCTTCAAGAAGAATCTTTGCAATTAGTCAAAAAAAATTCCAATGGGAATAAGTATTTATTTATTTTAAATAATTAACCATGGGTGGCTGTTATATTTATTTTTTAGCCAAAATATTTAGTCTAAGCGTCAATATAGCTGCAATAATTATTTCCAATACGATCAAAATTTTGGGTAATTTTGTGAGATTGTTGTTTTTCTTTTTCTTTTTTTTCATATACTGTTAGATGTTAAAACCTCTAGAATTGGATGGCTAAGTGGCTTATGGTTGAATGGTCTTTTGGGTCTTTATAGTGGCAGATCGAGACAAAATTTGAGTCTACCAAAATAAATTCATGAATTGGTTTTCTTCTATTGGCCGAAGGTTCAAAGTGAAAATCTTAAGAGAAGATTTTTGTGATATTAGTCTTGCCCTATTTGGACAATGATAAAATTTATCTTTGGAGATATAATGTGTTTTGGGCTTTTATTTGGAGGAGGTTGATTGGGAAGCAATTTGTTTTGTTCATTGACCAGTATTTGGTTTTCAGCGAGAATGAATGAGGAGCCAAGACTTGTTCTAGGGTGAACAATTTCATTAATATGGGGAGCATAATGAGTATCTTCTAGAGGTATTTAATTAATAATATGTTAAAACATTCTAATGCCGACTATGACTCTGGTTTGCATAAGACAAGTTAGTATCTTTTGGCATGGTCGACGTCATGACACTCAAGTAGCTAGCCTAAGTTATTTGTGGGCTTTGCATAACATAACCCTGAGGTCCTTGTACACTTCATTAGAGTGTAGCTCACATATTCACTTGAATGCATGATCAAATATTATAAGAAATTCACAACTAATTATTAATGATCAATAAGAACAATTTCTAATAAATTAGAATTAAGAGTAACAAAATAGAGAACTTTTACTATTATCTTTTACAATAATAGGCATTCTATACATAAATATTTATAAATACAGTATTTATAATCAAAACAATGATATTTTTGTAAATTAATAAATAAATATTTAAGATTATTTTATTCATTTAAAAAATAATTTTTTATGTTATGCCAAATTACGATTTGGCATCTATCTATTATAATTTAATTGGCTAAATTTTTTTAAGCACTTTTTAAAATTTTCATTTAAGTAATAATTTATTATAGACATAATCTATATAACGAAATTTTTTTACTTTAACAGTTAATTTTAAGATTAAATCATCTAATTTAATTAACGAAGGGAACGAATTAAATTTATCATAAAAAAATTACACTACATCGTAGACATGACAAAAATTTGCATGACTTAAAAAGAAGCCAACACTATATAAATGAAAAGGTTTATGTTTCAAATGAAAAGGTTAATCAATTTTTTTTTTTTTATATTTGAGATCATAATATATTTTTTTTATAAATTATGAAATTTTTACTTGGCTAGGACCATGTTATTCCCAGACAACATGATAATTGAAAATTGATAATTTTCCAAAGTGACTGTCAAGATCCAATCTCACTTTCATTTAATGTTGTAGAAAAATATTTTGGATAAAACATTGTACATCAATAGACTCAAGAAACAAACATAATGTCTTGAAATAAATTATATTTTATAATATAAATCAATTTACAAGAATTCTATCTGACTCACCATCAAATACTATGAAGGTGGTGGAATCAACTCCATCAACAATCCTTTTTGAAATGTTATACTTTTATATAATAATATTAACATAGTATAAATAAAACGTTAGATGTAAACCCTTCTTCTCACATCTGTACAAAAAACAGTTTTTTTTTTTTTAATGACAAGAAACTTATGTGTTATCACTCTTTTCATAATTAAAACAATTATAGGGTCTAGTAATTTGAAAATATTTTTTTAGTAGAAAAAATTTATATAATAAACTAATATACATACTCAATTTTCAACAATTAAATTTACAAAATCTGGATTGTAACATCTCTAATTTATTATTTTTAACATATTTTATAATATTTTTATTCATGACTGTAAAGTAAGAGTGAGTCAGAAACTTTGCTGAGCAAAATAAGTATAAAAATTAAATTAGAAGGAATTGAACTAAATTTATCATAATTAGGTGAAATATAGGCATACGCATATATTAGTATGAAATTTAAGCCTATTTTTTGGGGAAAAAAAACTTAATTTGAGGATTTGATATCCTAATTAAATTAAACAACATTCCAATATTAATTTTTAAAGGGTTTAGATAAATTTACATATTAGAAAATCTTTAAAATAAAATTTAGACTCCAACTAAGACTAGTATAGACTAATATGACCAATGTGACTACTAGTCTAAATAGGATTAGTTGGTAAAATCCTAAGATGAATTTTATTACATAAGAGAAAAGACTTATACTTTTGGTTAGTCCAATCTTAATAAACCTAAAAACTCATTATATTTGGTGGAAATATTTTAGAAAAAAAAACTTGACTAAAACTTATTGATTTTTTTAAAATTTAAATTCTAATGCAAAAATTCTATTGACTATAATAATGTGCATCTAATAAATCATATATTGTGATGATGGAAACAAATGACATGCTCAAATTAGCTTTGTATACCTTCAAAATTCAGCAAAAATTAAGAAAAAAAAATTAGATACTAAGCTACATTTATCCAGCCTTTAATACAAAATTATCACCAAAACTTGTACCTTAACCTCAAAAGCAAGCAAATCAAAATAGGTTCATATTAGAGGTATAAATCAAGAGCAGAGTAAGGATTTATAGTAAAGAAAAGGAGAACAACTCAAGAACTGAAATCAAGAACAAAAGTGGAAGTGATCAATGTAGTTAGTATCGCACAATTCGTGATATGATACATATTAGACAATGCGATTAAGGAACAGAGCGATACAAATTGTATGGGAGTATTGTTTTTGTCTAGAATAGTTGTCGGAATCACAAGATTTAGTCCTAAATCGCGATTATCATGGGCAGCTTACGATTTAGCTGCGAGTTCACTAAAAACTCTAACAAACCTTTTTTTTTTTTTTGTTAAAATTGTTGTTTCTCCTTAATAATGCCTCTACGAGACCCACCCAACAAGACCCTTGTTTTATATTGAAAGAAAATTCTTATTTTCTCTATTCCTGTGTTGTGCTCCTCTTCTCCACACTTTCTCTTATTTTAGTTCTTTTTACTTCAGATATTTGGTGGTTCCTTCATTTATTTTTGGTGGTCCCCTCAAGTTCTTTCTTATTCACGCGCTTTGCCCCTTTCACTCTCCTGCCTCTTCAATGTTTTCTATTTTGTATTTGTCTACTCCTAATCTTTTTGTTTGTTGTTTGTTGTTTAGAGAGTCTAATGGATCCTACTAAAAAATTATAAGAAAGTGATATCACGTGAAAACATAATGTAAGTGCCTATACAAGTATTCTAGATGAGGTAAAGAAGATATTCATAAAAAAATATTAGAAGAGAAAGAAAAGAAAAAAAGGTGAAAATAGCTTGGAGTATTTTGAAGAAGTTGCAACCCAAGATGCAAGTGGTCATCAAAAGGGAAGAATGAATTCTTTTGTTAACAAAGAAAAGGAAGGGACATCTAAAGCTCTAAAGCAAACAACAATGAATACAATGTTCAAAGATAGAGATGTTGTCATTCAAGAAATTTGCAAATACATATATGCTAATGCCTTATCATTTAATTTGGTAAGAAGTTCCCATTTTATTCAAATGTTGAAAATTGTTAGAGAATTTGGTAGGTTTAAAACCTTCTACTTATCATGAAGTGAGAGAATCTTTTTTGAAAAAGTAGTTGATAACGTCCATGAAAATTTGGAGAAATACAAGAATGAATGGGAGAAGTGGGGCTACACTTTGATATGTGATGTAGTGCAAGTTGTGACATATGGTACTTTCAACCTTGTGGCGGCAAAAAAAATGCTAGAGGAGAAGAGGACAAAATTGTTTTGGTCCCCTTGTGCAACTCACTATTTAGATTTGGTTTTTGAGGATATTGGACAGCTTCTGGTGTTCTTTAGTACAATTTCAAATACAAAGAAAATTACAACTTACATATATAGACATACATGGATCCTTAACTTGTACAGACAACATTCTAAAGGAAGGGAATTAGCAAGGCCAGTTGTAATAACGTTTGCAACTTCTTATCTCACACTAAATTGCATTATGCAACAAAAGAATGTTCTTCTATCTCTGTTTGCTTCAGAAGAATGGATTGAAAGTTCTTATGCTAGTAAAAGTGAGGCTAATCAAGTCAAGAACTTAGTTTTGAGTGATTCTATATTTTGAAAATTCATCTAGTATTGCATAAAGTGTATGATTCCTCTTGTAAAAGTATTAAGACTTATAGATGGTGATTCAAAACCAGTCATGCCATTATACTTATGAAGCAATTTAAAGAGCAAATTGTTAAAAACTTCCAAAATCAAGAGTCAAGGTACAAAAAGTTGTGGAAGATTATTGATACTAGCTAGGTGAATTTACAACCACATAAGCCTCTCCATGCAACTATTATCTAAATCCTAGGTAAATAAAGTCATCATCAATCTCTTATGTTTTTTACACTTTTTTAAAGGTTGAGTAACTTAATTGTATATCTTATGTCTTTTTTAATTAGGTTTTACTATGACAAAAAATTCAATCTATATAGTGAGGTTTTATTTAGCTTATATGAAACCATTGAAAGAATAGTTCCGGATAGAAGGACAAGATTTTCTATTGATCAATGACTTAAAAATTTAAGATTGCTAAGGGACTTTTTGGAATGAACATGGCACAACAAGAAACAATCAGGTAGTTTTAAATTGGTTAATTCATAATTTAAACTTTTAATTTTAAGGAAAATTAGGCAATATCTTTCTATGACATACATCTTATTTTTGTTTTACTAGAACTTTTGTGAGAAAGTTGTGGTGGAGAGTGTAAAGAGCTAACAAAAGTAGCTATGAGAATTTTAAGTCTCACATACTGCTACAGGTTGTTAAAGATACCATAATACATTTTACTAAGTGCATACCAAAAGAAGAAATCTCTTGGAGCAACAAAGATTAAATACACTTATTTTTGTCAAGTACAATATTCAACTTTATAGGAGACAAAAGGTTAGAGAAGAGAAGAGAGAAACTTATGATCCTATATGATTGTCTAATATTGAATCAGATGTTGAGTGGATTACTAAAAAAGAAGACTTTTGCT